CCTCTCTCTCTCCCTCTCTCTCTCTCACACACACACACACACACACACACACACACACACACACACATACACATACACACACACACACACACTCTGTCCCTTTCTGGTCAAATAAAAATAAAAATAAATAAAGTTAAAATAGTTCTTTAAAAAAGAAAATAACTCAGGGACCAGCAGTTGGCATAATGGCTATGGTGCTGGACTCCCACGTAGTCAACCATGGTTCAAGTCCCAGACCTACTGCTTAAACTCACGCCAGGCACTTATGTGTGCGTACCCAAGATCCCGAGAGGAGAATGGAGGAGAAGGGATTGCGGTGTGGTCATTCCCCCCTGAGGGGTGATCTCTTGCTTTCTCTCTCTCTGTCTTTCTGGAGAGTGCACACACCCTATAGCAAAAACACTCTATAGAAAAAAAAAAAAAAAAAAGAACTCTTATATATATGTTTCTTAAATACTTTTTCTCATTTTGTTAATTGTATTTGCATGTACTTTTTAAAAATCCATCATGTAAAAGTTTGTTGTAGTGGTTACAAAATAAATTGAACTTTTCAAATTTTATTTAATTTTATTATTTATAATTATTATTTTGTCTATTTAGTTAGTTTTAATCACTCTCCTTTCTCCTCTTGGAATTTTGGGCACACATGTACACGCACCCAGCATGAGTTTAAGCTGCCAGATCCAGAGCTTGAACCAAAGTCAGCCATATAGGAGTTCAACACTATGAACAGTTTAAACACTATGCCACCTGCTGGCCCCTATTGTTATTCTTTATAATTTGCTATAGAGTACATTTACTCACTAGAGAGAGACGGAGAAAGAGGAGGAAAGTGAGAAAGCAAGCCGCCAAGTCCAAGACTTGAACTATGGTTGACCATGTGGGAGTCCAGCACCTTAACCACCATAGCACTTGCTAGCCCCAAATTAATTGAACTTCTGTATATTCTGGATTTTGTCCATAGTTAGAACTTTCCATTCTTGGGAACAGCAGTTGGCATAATGGCTATGTTACTGGACTCCCATGGAGTAGACCATGGTTCAAGTCCCGGACTAGTGACTTAAAACTCATGCCGGCCACGTGTCCATGCATGCCCAAGATCCTGAGAGGAGAAGGGATTGCAGCATGGCCATCTCACTTTCTGTCTCTCTGTCTGTCTCTTGTTGTCTTTCTGATGAGCACACACGCCCTATAGCAAAAAAACTCTCAAAAAAAAAAACAAAAACAGCTTTCCCATTCTTACGTTATATAAGATAGGTTATATTTTACTGAATGGTCCCTCTCTTCGCCACTCACTTGAGAATACTTTTTTACCTGATATTAAAGTTTCATATATATATATTGGAGTTAGTCTCTGGATTTTCCATTCTGTTTTAGTAGGTGGCTGTCTATTTTTATACCTCTAGCTCACCATTTTGATTAAAGAGGCATTTTATGTTGCTTAATGCCTATTAAGGCAATCGTTCCTCAGAGTTTTTTGTTTTCAGTATTGCTAGTATTGGATGATATTTTTTCTTATTTTTAAAAATAATTATTGCATTTAATTTTATTTATTACTATTTTCTAATTTGACCAGAGAGAGAGAGACAAAGTGAGAAAGCAAGCCTCTGGGTCAGGGACTCGAACTGCAGTAGACCATGTGGGAGTTCAGCACTCCAACCACCACACCACTTACTGGCCCCTGATATTGTTTTCTTTTTCTTTTTTTTTTTTTTTTTAAGAATTATTTCATTGGGACCAGCAGTTAGCGTAGTGGCTATGTCACTGGACTCCCATGTAGTCGACCGCGGTTCGAGTCCCGGACCCGGTGGCTTAAAACTCATGCCGGGCACGTGTGCGTGCGTGCCCAAGATCTCGAGAGGAGAATGGAGGGATTGCGGCGTGGCCATCCCCCCGGGGATTGATTTCTCACTTTCTGTCTCTGTCTCTCTGTCTGTCTGGCGAGCGCACGCGCCCTATAGCAAAAACCTCTCAAAAAAAAATTATTATTCTATTTAACATTATTTGTTTATTTTAATTTGACCAGAGAGAGGAGAGAGAGAGAGGGAGAGAGAGAGAGAGAAAGTGAGAGAGCAAGCCAGCAGATCCAGGATTCGAACTGTAGTCAGCCATGTGGGAGTCTAGCATCCTTAACCACCACCCCACCCCAACCCCATGATTTTTATTTTCTTAATAAAGAAGTAAATTGAGGCTGGCAGGTGGCATGGTGGTTGAAGTGCTGGACTTCCACATGGCCTTCTGTGGTTCTGGTCCTGGATCTGGCAGCTTGCTTTCTGACATTCCCTTTCTCTCTCTCTCTCTCTCTCTCTCTCTCTTCTGGCCAAACTTAAAAGGTAATAATGATGATGAATAAAATTAAATTAAAAAAATAATTCTTTGAGAAAAAAATGGGGCTGGCAGGTGGTGTGGTGGTTAAAGGCACTGGACTTCCACGTGGGCAACCACAGTTTGAGTCCCAGACCTGGTAGTGTGCTTTCTCACTTTCCCTCTCTCTCTTTCTCTGTCTCGCTCTGCTCATACTGGAAAATAATAATAATAAATACAGTTAATGAAATAATGCTCTAAAAAATGTTTTTTAAAAAAGAAGTAAATTGGGGCCAGCAAGTGGCACGGTGGTTAAAGGCGCTGGACTCCCATATGGCCGACCACGGTTCAAGTCTCGGACCTGGTGGTTTGCTTTCTCACTTCCTCTCTCTCTCTTTCTCTGTCTCTCTCTGATCAAACTGGAAAATAATAATGATAATAATAATAAATAAAGTTAAATAAAATAATTGTTTAAAAAAATACTATTTCTAAAAAATAAATAAATAAATAAATAGGAAGTAAATTAACAATGCAGTTGAGAGCCAGCAGTGGGATTTGAACCACACAGTCAGCCATGAAGGATCCAGCTGCCTTAACCTTCGTGCCACCTGCTGGCCCTGTGATTGAAATTTTTAACAGTACTTACTTCAGGGAGTTGTACATAAACATTGTATTTTTAAATTTTTATTTATACTTTTAAGGTTTTTGCCATAAGGTATGTATTCTCGCTGGAGAGGTAGAGAGAGGCAGTGAGAGGGAAAATGAGAAATCACCCCCTACCCCCCCAGGGGAGATGGCCACTCTGCAGTCCCTTCTTCAATTCTCCTCTGGGATTTTGGGCGCAGGTTCCCAGCATGAGTTTTAAGCCATGGAGTCTGGGACTCAAACCATGCAGTCAGCCATGAAGGATCCAGCTGCCTTAACCTCCATGCCACCTGCTGGCCCTATGATTGAGATTTTTAACAGTACTTACTTCAAGGAGTTGTAGATTAACACTTTAAAATACATGTATACTATTTGGCATGATACCTGGCATGTAGTACATCCTCAGTTTGTACTGATAGTAACTGCAAATCATTAATATAACAGTTATCTCTACGCACACTGGTTATTTTCTCCTTTGATTTCTCTTTTTTATTGTCTTTTTACAGAAAACCCATACAAACAGCTGCCATGTAACTGTCATGGAAACATGCCTGGAAAGACAGCAATAGAACTTGGTCCTCTGTGGTATGTGCCAAAATATAAAATCTTATTAAAAGAGCCAGCAGGTGGTGTGGTGTTTAAGGCGCTGGACACTCCCACATGGCTGACCATGGTTCAAATCCTGGACCTGGTGGCTTGCTTTCTCACTTTACCTCTCTCTCTCTGTGCGTCTCTCTCTGGTCAAATTAAAATAAATGAATGAATAAATGAAATTAAAATAATTCTTTTTAAAAATTATCATATTGAATATTGGTTTATCGATATCTGACTTTTAATCATGTGCAATAAAAGACCAGCAAATTTAGATTCAGTTTTTAAGTTTAAGCAAGTAATTATGAGTGCTCTACTCTTGTCAGCCTGAGGTGTTTTCTGTTTTCAGATTTTTCTCTGCCATTATTATTCTTAGTTTGTGACAGAGCTAAGAGGCAGAGGGGCAAAAGAGAAGCCTAGATGATCTGCAAGCTAGATCATTCATTTCTAAATAGTAAGAGAGGATTTTCAGTTGATTATTGTGGAACTAGATTGTCATTGTGAAATGATCATGATCACTTCTATAAAAGAACCAACTAATAAAAGGTCTTAGAGGAATTCGTTTTAAGTAAGAAGGGCATTTAAAAATGTGTGCCTTTGTTTAGATGAGACACAACTGCAAGTATTTAATATATGTGCTTTTGCATCTTTGGTTACAAGTTATATTTTTTATGCCTCTAAGTTAAATTGTATTTAATCAGAATCTTTACCTCAAAATTATTGACACCAGGGAGTCCTACAGAAATTCAAGATATAACTAACAACCTGTGACCAAAGCATTGTAAATTTCCTCCTCATTACTTTATAAAATCAAGGCTTATGCATCTCCTAAGTCGGAAATTGACATATGATACTTGTTTGTCTCAGTGACCATTATTTTACCTTCATCTCATGTAAAAGCTCACATTAAGAATGACCTTGCCAACCTTACCTTCTAGAACTCTCTTACCTTTATCTTCTCCTTCACATTGATCCTACTTACTGGACTTAGAACTAGGAGTATTAAGAATAAAAGGTTGCAGCATCCAGAAGGAAGATCTCATTTTACAGATAGGGAAATTATGACGGGACCAGCAGTTGGCGTAATGGCTATGTCGCTGGACTCCCACATAATCGACCACGGTGGACCCAGTGGCTTAAATTCATACTGGGCATGTGTGTGCATGTACCCAAGATCCTGAGAGGAGCATGGAGGAGAAGGGATTGTGGCGTGACCGTTCCCCCTAGAGGGTGATTTCTCGCTTTCTGTCTGTCTGTCTCTGTCTTTCTGGCGAGCACACACACCCTATAGCAAAAACCTCTCAAAAAATTAATTAATTAATTAGAAAAAGGAAATTATGACACAGAGTTTGTTTTTTTGAAGTTTATTTACTTATTTAGAAAGCAAGAAACAGGATAGGGGACCTATTGTGTCATGGGTTCCCCACGCCACCAGACTTTTAGCTAGCCAGGATCACAGACACCTGGCATATTCAGGTCCATCCAGGATTCAAACCCCAGGTCTTCCCATCTGGCTCCAGCATATATAGTGCCTCCCTACCACCTGTACCACTACAGCTGGACCTGACATCTATTATTATTTGTTTTTAAGAGGTAAATTGTGTCTTAGGGTTTGTATGCTTACTGGAGAGACAGAAACACAAAGACAGTGTAAGCAAAAGTGAAAAATCACCCCCCCCCACCCCACCCAGGGAAGATGGCCACACCAAAATCCCTTCTCCTCCATTCTCTTCCCAGGATGGTAGGCGCGCATGCAAATGCACCCGGCATGATTTTCAAGCCACTGGTCTGGGACTTGAACCATGGTTGGCCATGTGGGAGTCCAGCGATGTAAATGCTATGCCATCTGCTGGCCCCTGCTGACATGTGTTTTTAACTGCTTGCTAATGCTAGTCTAAAAAACTGGTTATTGGCACAGTCAGGGCCAGAACTTAGGTCTTCCGACTCCCAGGACTGAGCGCTAAATCATGCCTTATGATTTCATCGGTCAGAGCCATTGTTGATAGCTTCGCCCTCGTGCAGATCACCTTTCCCATCTCCCGCACCTTCATGTCAAATTGTACCTTTTAGAGCTCTCTCCTTACTGCCTCCTCCCGACATTCTCTCTCCCAACATTATCTTTAAATTCTACTTAGTATCTTAACTTGATCATTCATTTCACACATATCCTTTCTTACATACTTGTTAATTCTAAAATAACAGCTCCTGTTCATTAAGGATGTATTTCGTACTAGCCACTGTACATATGCTACCTCATTTCATTCTGATAACAAGCGTGTGGGAACTTCTTTTCCCATTTCATGACGATGACTCAGAAGCAGTAATTACTCAAGATTACATAGCTAGTGAGTAATGGGACCAGGACTAGAATTCAGGTCGATCTGATTCAGAATTTTATATATTGTCCATTATACCTGTGACTCTGAAATCAAATGGGAAGCATGTCAGATCACCCCATCATTTTTGAGCTACACCACTACCACATGTAATTTCCCTTACCCCCGCTCACTAGCACATACACACCAAAATTAAGAATCAGTACTACTGACTGGCACGTGCATGGTGAAAGCCTCTGCCTTACGCCGTGCTCCTGTATGGAGCTTGTCAGATGTACAGGCTTTTATAGGGTCAACATTGTATCTTACATTTCGGTATAGCCTTCATCTCCACTCCTTGCCATGTCTATACACCTTAGGGACGCAATGAATTCTTGTTGATTTAATGTGAATGAAATTTCCTTGAGGGGCCAGCAGGTGGCATGGTGGTTGGGGCACTGAACTCCCGCATGGCTGACCATGGTTCAAGTCCTGGACCTGTCAGCTTGGGTTTTTTCTTTCTCTCTTTCTGTCTGTCTCTCTCTCTCTCTGGTGAGCACATGAGCTTTATCACAAACTAAAAATAATAATACTAATGATAAAAAAAATTTTAAAAAACATTTCCTTGGCTAATTTTACTAGCTTAGTAAACAGATAGGATAAAAGGAGAGGGGGAATAAAAATAAACTATTTTAAATCATAAATTCCTTTTAAGTTTCAGTATTAACTCTGTAATTAATCATATATCACAATTTTAGTTAAATTATAGAGGCTTTCTTTTTTTGAAAAAAAAAAAAAAACTTAAACCACATTTTCTCTATGTTCTTATCTTTTTCAGGTCAAGTTCTCTTTTCAATACTGGATTTCTCAAAAGAATGTTATTTGAATCTCTTCACCATGGCTTGGAGGACATTCAAACCCTAATAAAAACATTAATCTTTGAATCAGAATGTACTCCTCAAAGTCAGTTTTCAGTTCATGCATCTTCTGGTCTCAACAAGCAAGGTGACTGATTGAATACTAGCTTACTAGCTTACAAACTGAATATCAAAAAATAGTGTACCTTGGGCCAGCAGGAGGTATGGTAGTTAAGGCACTGGATTCCCTCGTGGCCGACCATAGTACCGGGCAGCTTGAAAATCATGCTGGGCACGTGTACGTGCATGCCCAAAATTCTGAGAGGAGAATGGCATGGCTATCCCCCTTGGAGGTGATTTCTCACTTTTTTCACTTTCCCTCTCTGTGTGTCTCTTTCTCCAGTGAGCACATATGTCCTACGGCAAAAACAAACAAACAAACAAACAAAAACCTCTTACCTTTTTTATCTTTATTTGATGTTATAATCAGTCAGAAGCAATATAATTATAAATAGTATAGTTTAAATTAATCTCCTTTAATGAGCATAAGCAAAATCTGGTTGTTAACTTCTTTTTAATTGCTTAGTTTTGTTCAGGTTTATATTCAGGCCAAAAATGAATAGTAATTTTATTTACTTATTTATTTTTAATTATTTTTTATTTAGCTTTATTTATTTGTTTTATTTTTATTCCAATTTGACCAGAGAGGGTAAGAGCGAGAGAGAGAGAGAGAAGGAAAGTGAGAAAGCAAGCCACCAGGTCTGGGACTCGAACTGCAGTCAGCCACGTGGGAATCAAGCGCCCCTAACCAATACACCACCTGCCAGCCCCAATAGTAATCTTATTAAGATAATCTCCAGCCAGCAGGTGGCATGGTGGTTAAGGTGCTACACTCCCACATGGCTGACCATGGTTCAAGTCGTGAACCTTTCTTGCTTTCCCTCTCTCTCTGTGTGTGTCTATCTTTGGTCAAATTAAAAAATAATAATGACAAATTAAAAAATAATAATGATAGGGAACCAGCGGTTAGCGTAATGGCTATGTCGCTGGACTCCCACGTAGTCGACCGCGGTTCACGTCCCGGACCCGGTGGCTTAAAACTCACGCCGGGCGCGTGTGCGTGCGTGCCCAAGATCCCGAGAGGAGAATGGAGGAGAAGGGATTGCAGCGTGACCATCCTCCCTGGGGGGTGATTTCTCGCTTTCTGTCTCTATGTCTCTCTCTGTCTGTCTGGCAAGCGCACGCGCCCTACAGTGAAAATCTCTCCAAAAAAAAAAAGAAAAAAGAAAAAAATAATAATGACAAATGGAATGAAATAAATAAATCATTAATTATTTTTTAAAAGATAATCTTTTTATTTTTAATATACTGGATTAAAATAACTAAAAGTTCTCTATGATTTGCTGTCTAGAAAAAGAAACCTTAGGTAATTCTAGAAGTGATGTGGCTAAAAATCACTCAATAAAGCTAAATTTTTTTCTCCTTATTACAAATAGATTTTTATAATCCTATCTGGCTATTTATTTATTGCTGGAATGCACACACTGTCGCCAATGAGAGACGGAGGGAGAGAAAGCAGACCTAATGAGGCGTGGTCAACACCACAGTCCCTTCTCTTCCATTGTTCCAACATGTTGGGGTTTTGGGCATACACCTGGAATGTCTTTCAAGCTGCCATGGCCGGAATTCAAACCACAGCTGGCCATGTGGTATCCATCTCCTTAACTACTAGGCTATGGAGCCAGCCCTTAAAGGTCTCCCTATTAAACACCCTAGCATTCTCATAAATAATTAGAAAGAGCTGCTGTCAAAAAAGTATAAAATATACAATTCTTATGGCCAAATCATGACCCAGCAGTAAAACATGATGCTTTATAAGGCCAACCCACATGAAAAGCTCTCATGCAGAGAGTGTCATGAATACACTGAATATGGCATGCATGTGCCATAATCTGGGGCTGTGAGTCTGAGAATGGAGTGCAGCCTCAAGAACCTCTTAAGGTGGGACCAGCAGTTAGCGTAATGGCTGTCATTGAACTCCCATGTAGTTGACCACGGTTCAAGTCCTGGACCCGGTGGCTTAAACTCACACCGGGCACGTGTGCGTGCATGCCCAAGATCCCGAGAGGAGAATGGAGGAGAAGGGATTGCGGCGTGGCCATCCCCCCTGTGGGGGTGATTTCTCGCTTTCTGTCTCTCTGTCTCTGTCTTTCTGGCAAGTGCACGCACCCTATAGCAAAAAAAAAAAAAAACTCTTAGGGTGCTCTCTCTCTCTCTCTCTCTCTCATTCATTGAGTAAATAAATACATAAACTTTAAAAATAAAAAATGTAAAATTATTTATTTTTTTCCCTTTATTCGATAGGGGATGTGCACATGAGATAGAGAAAAAGAGAGGTGAGCACCCTCTGAAGGGTCTGGTCATGCACAGTCTTAGCATGTTTCAGGCTGACTAGGCCAGGGATTCAAACCATGGTCATCTATATTGGTTATCTCTATCTCCATGGTAATCTATATTGTTTATATATATAAACACACACACATATATATATATATATTTATATTTATAAGTAAAATTCTCGCCTCCTGCTTTGGGCCACAAAGTTTCTTATATTTTGAATTTCTTCCTTAATGTCATTCTATAAAATATTTTGCTTTCTCATTTGTTTTTATTTTAGAAGAAAATGGTGTATTTATTAAAACTACAGATGATGCCACAACAGATAATTATACTGCACAAGGTATGTGTTTTGGCGCATATACGTACATGTGTATATATGAGTGTAAAAATACATAGAGCAGAAAGAGACAAGAGAGTGCCTTGGTAGCCTACTTAGAAGTACATTTTCAGGGCCACTGGTGGCATGGTGGTTATGACATTGGACTCCCACATAGCCAACCACAATTAGAGTCTCAGACTTTGCAGCTTGCTTTCTCACTCTCTCTCTCCCTGTCTTTCTCTGGTCAAATTAAATAATAATAGGGGATCAGCAGATGGTGTAATGGCTACATCGCTGGACTCCCATGTAGTCAGCCACGGTTTGAGTCCCAGACCTGGTGGCTTAAACTCACGCTGGGCGGGTGTGCATGCGTGCCCAAGATCCCGAGAGGAGAAGGGATTGTGGCATGGCCATCCTCCCTGGGGGGGGGGCGATTTCTCACTTTCTGTCTCTCTGTCTTTCTGGCAAGCGCACACATCCTAGAGCAAAAACCTCTCAAAAAAAAAAAAAATTAAAGAATAGTAATAAATGAAATTAAATTTTGTTAAATTCCAGAAAAAGCTAAAAAGTACATTTTCATCAAATTATACTGACAATAGAACTGTACTAAAGTAAAACTTGTGCACCCACATCCACACATTTCAAAATTTCTGTTAAATTTATATCAAAAGGATGTTAAGATTTGAAACATCAGTATCTTAATGTCTATAGTTGTGTTTTACATTTTAAAAGACAACTTTCAATTCTAAATGTGTTTTTTTCCCTTTATTTATGATAGAACATGTAAGTGTACACTTGAGAGAGAGAGATGAGCACCCTCCATGGGGTATGGTCATGCTACAGTCCCTTCTCGCTAGTCCACCAGCCCCTCACGTCTCCGTCCTGTGTGTGCAAGTCCAGCGTGTTTCAAACTGACTGGGTCTCGGAATCCGACCCATGGTTGCCTGTGGGATCCAGCTTCTCTTGAGCAGCACGCTATTGCAGTGCCAGCTCCTTGCATGTGTTTTGAATACAGTTAAAAGAGAATATAGGGCCAGCAGGGGGCATGGAGGTTAATTAAGGTGACCGAATCCCACACGGCCAACTATGTGGTTCAAGTTGTGAACCTGGTGGCTTTAAAATCATGCCAGGTGTTTGTGTGCCCAAAATCCAGCCTCGTGGCCCAGTGGGTAAAGAAGTCAGATCCTACATGGTCAACCTCTCTTTAAATTCTGGCCCCAGTGACTTGGAAGAAAACAGCAGCAGGCACTATGTGTGCATGCCCAAAACACTGACAAGAAGGAAAAATGGAGGAAAAAGGACTGTGGTTTGACCACACCCCATCGATGGATTCTCTCTATATATAGCAAGTGCACACTCTAGCAATTAAAAAAAAAAAACATTCAAATATAAGTAAGCCTTAAAAATATTTAAGATCTCTGATCCTTACTCACATATAAATTAAGGAGATTAGAAGATTAGAATCATCGCTATGAAGTCTTCTGAAACTAAAACTGAGTGTTCTAAGATGTCTATCAATAAAACCTTCCATGATAGGAAATACTGGGCAGGTTCAGCCATCGCAGCACAGATGCTGGGGCACTACTGTGTGTTACTGAGGCCACAAGGGAGGCCCAGGTTCAGCCCCATCAAGGGCTACTGTAGTATGTGTCTTTCCTTTCTTCCTCTCTTTTTTTATAGAAATAAATGAAAAACTTTTAAAAAGAGGGGAAAAAATAACATGCAAAAAAATCCATGTATTGCTTATGATAGTCAGTACTAAGGTGTCTATCAGATGTTTTTGGTCTCGGATTTTCCTAGAACTTGTACTAAATCTGGGAATAGAGCCTTTCACTAAGTGCCTTGTTCATTTTCATACAAGGGTATAGTTGTATATATTTTTTAAAGAATTATTTGAACTTTTAAAACTTATTTTAATTTGACCAGAGAAGGAGGGAGAGAGAGAGAGAAAGTGAGGAAACAAGCCACCAGGTCCAGAACGCAAACCGTAGTCGGCCATGTAGGAGTCCAGCATCCTTAACCACCATACCACTTGCCGGCCCCATGGGTATAGTTTATTTTCATTGTCTTAGTTAACAGGAGGGCCCCAGGGTGTTCTAGTTTTAGGTAAAAAGATAACAATTCAATGATAATATATACTCATTCAATATAATTTATAATTTTCATTGAAATTTGCCTTCTGAATACTTTTCTTAAAGAATTATTTAATTTTATTTATCATTTTTTTTTTGAGAGGTTTTCGCTATAGGGCGCGTGCGCTCGCCAGACAGACAGAGACAGAGAGACAGAAAGCAAGAAATCACCCCCCCCAGAGGGGATGGTCACGCCGCAATCCCTTCTCCTCCATTCTCCTCTCGGGATCTTGGGCACACACGCACACGCGCCTGGCGTGAGTTTTAAGCCACCGGGTCCAGGACGCGAACCGCGGTCGACTACATGGGAATCCAGCGACACAGCCATTACGCTAACTGCTGGTTCCCTTTATCATTATTTTTAAAAAGAATTATTTATTTTTCAATTCTGACTAAAGAGAGACAAAGAAAGAGAGCAAGCCACCAGGTCCCAGACTGGAACTACGGTTGGCCGTGTGAGAGTCCAGCACCGTTAACCACCACGCCACCTGCTGCCCCCTCATCATTATTTTTTAATTTTGCTACAGGACACATGTACTCCTCAGAGAGAGAGAGGAGCGACACAGCCATTACGCACCAGAGTAGAGTCATAGAAAGTGAAAAAGAAAGCCACTAGATCCAAGACTCCAACCATAGTCAGCCATGTGGGAGTCCAACACCTTAATCACCACACCGCCTGCTGGATACTTTGCTAAAGCAAACGTTAATTGCTTTTCCTAAAGAAATGAGATTTTATCAATAATATCCACATATAAAAAAATCAAGGGTTGAACATTCAGGCAAAATCTCTAGATAGTACTTATTTTTGGAAGGATACTCTGTTAGAATTTTACTTGCTAATGTCCTTTCACCTAAAATGGAAAGACTTAAGTTTTGTGATAAGAAGTAGGCAATGGGAACCAGCAGTTAGCGTAATGGCTATGTCGCTGGACTCCCACGTAGTCGACCGCGGTTTGTGTCCCGGACCCGGTGGCTTAAAACTCACGCCGGGCGCGTGTGCGTGCGTGCCTAAGATCCCGAGAGGAGAATGGAGGAGAAGGGATTGCGGCGTGACCATCCCCCCTGGGGGGTGATTTCTCGCTTTCTGTCTCTCTGTCTCTGTCTGTCTGGCGAGCGCACGCGCCCTACAGTGAAAATCTCTCCAAAAAAAAAAAAAAAGTAGTCAATAAGGGCAGGCACTAACCTTTATCAGTTTCTATGTCAAAGCTCTTGGGACTTTTCTTTGTGTTCCTTTTTTGTTTTGTATTCATTAAAGACCTACTTTTGTGTCTACCATGACCTAGTATACCCCAATGGGGGTTCACTGTGGCCTAATGGTTAAGGCAGCCTGGCTCCACATGGCCAAAAATACAGTATGAGTCCTGGACCTGGTAGCCGGAGGAACATGTGAAGTGCACTTGTGTTCATGTGTGCCCAAAATCTCAAAAGGAGGGAGAGTTGGAGGAGGAGGGATTGAGACATAACCATTCCTCATAGGGGTGCTTCCTCTTCTCCCTCTCTGTCTGTGGTGAGCACATGTACCTTATACCATATCTATGCACAAAAAGACCTATTATAAATCTAATACTAGACCCTATGTAGATAGCAGAGTATAAAAATGAAGAACATTGGGGCTGGCAGGTGGCATGGTGGTTAAGGGCACTGCATTCCCATGTGGCCAACTGCAGTTCAAGTCCCAGACCCGACAGTTTGCTTTCTCACTTTATCTCTCTCTCTCTTACTCTGTCCCTTTTTGATCAAATTCAAAAGGAAGAAAGAAAGAATGAATGAATCAAAGAAAGAAAGAAAGCTAGTTAGTTAAATAAAATAATTGTTAAGGAAAAAAAAAAGAATATTGTTCCCAGGAACTTAAAATACTGAGTTGTCAGGAAAGTAATGACGCATTTTGCATAGAAAAATACATCATGACTTTCCCAGCGACCTAATATAGCTGGGGAGAAAGTATGTATACGCACAGAAGACCCACATACATGGAAACAAAAATAGAGAACATAAGCTCTGTGTGGTGTAGTATTGACAGTAATTAACTCTATGAAGTACATGGCTGAGAATTCATAAATGCTGCCTACGGGAAGATGGAAATAGAGCTGAGTCTTGAAGTGGAAGAAAGTAGAAAGGAAGTTCTGACTCAGCAAACAGATCTTAACATTACATCAGTAGATGACAGTGAAAATACCTAAAATAAATTATCTTGTAAGAATTAGGATTGGGGAGACTAGCAGGTGCGCTGGTTACAGACGCTGGACTCCCATGTTGCCAACCACGGTTTGAGTCCTGGACCTGACGGCTTGCTTTCTCACTTTCTCTCTCCCCCACTCTCTGGTCAAATTTAAGTAAATAAATAAAGTTAAATAAAATAATTCTTAAAAAGAAAGAAAGAATTACAATCAGGGCTGGCAGGTGGTGTGGTGGTTAGGGTTGCTGGACTTCCGCATGACCAAGTTCAAGGTCCACGTGGTTCAAGTTCTGGACCTGGCAGCTTGCTTTCTCGCTTTCTCTCTCTTTCTTTCACTCTGTCCCTCTTTGGTCAAGTTAAAATAAGTAAATAAAGTTAAATAAAATAATTAAAAATAAGACTCAGGATAGTTAGTTTGAAATAGTATATCTTACACTCAAGACAGTGCATAGTTACAGAAGTATTTGGCTTATAATTTTTAAGAGAACGATAATTTTGTGTGTGTATATGTATGTTTCAGGAAAGAGAAAAAGTAATGAAACAATCACAAATCTAGCCAAGAAGCAGAAGAGTGATGTCAGTTCTGAACACCCTCCCTTTTATTACAACATCCATAGACACAGCATTAAAGGAATGAATATGCCAAAGTAAGCCCACGAATGGCAAAGTGAATGTTTTCTATTTTAATAGCATTGTGGTTTAAGTAAAAATACAAGAACTTCATCATTTTTTCCCTTTCCTTGCTGCAGGTTAAAAAAGTTTCTGTGCTATCTTTCTCAAGCAGGCTTTCGAGTCAGCCGAACTCATTTTGACCCCATGGGTGTCCGTACAGATGCACCGCTAATGCAGTTTAAAGCCATCCTTTTAAAGTACAGCACCCCCACCTACACTGGGGGACAGTCGGAGGGCCACGTGCAGGCAGCACCCGAAGATACAGGAGCTGACAGGGTGAAATGTCAGTGACCACAGAGCGGAAGCGAGCAGCTGCGGGAGGTGGGCAATGCCGAGTTCATTCCCAGGTGTCTGCAGAGATGGCCTGATTGTTCCATGTGCCACCGGTGGTGTTTTTTCTGTTCCTTCAATTCATTGGTATAAAAATAATAAAAACTAGTGCTGTTTCGTTTACACAATTAGCTGTTTCTAACTTAGCTGCTTTGAGAGCTTTGCTTTCCAAATTTTCCTTATTTTTAAGAAAATTTCAAATGTTAATGGGAGCGTTTCAATATGATGCCAAGTTTCTGACTGAGGTCGCCCTTTTGTCTAATAATTCGGAAATCTCTGACATATGAAGTGTTTGGAACTTCATGCACATTATGGAGGCTTTCCTTTACTGTTCTTAATCATATCTCTACTATGCTTCATGATGCCTATGTTTTTCTGTCTAGCATACAAAATGAGGCTGACACCTTTTACATAGTAAAGGAATCCTGAATTGAATAGGAAGAATGATGTTCTTCCAAGTCACTAGTGGTTTGTGTGGTATGTTTTTCCCCGCCAGAGGATGCATGTGCTCACTAGAGAGAGACAGAGGGATTAACTACCCCTCAGTGGGGCAAAGACATGCCACGGTCCCTTCATCTTCGTCTCTCCATCCCATCAGTATTTGGGGTACATGTGCACTCTGACTTTTTTTTCCTCTTTAGGATTTTTTTTTTTTTTTTTTTTTTTGCTATAGGGCATGTACACTCGCCAGAGACACACAGAGAAAGAAAGTAAAAAATCACACCCTGAGGGGATGCCCACACCACAATCACTTCTCTATTCTCTCAATTTGGGGCGCACATGCACACACACCTAGCAAGAGTCTTGCCACTAGGTCTGGGATTCAAACCGTGGTTAGCCATGTGGAGTCCAGCACCCCATCCACTACACCACCTGCTGTCCCCTAAACCTCCCCCACCTTTATTTTTACTTTTTCAAACCACAGGAGCCAGCATTCGAACTGCCATGTGCCATGTGTGACATTTGTCCACCATGTGGAATCTAGCTTCCTTAACTGCTAGGCTCCAGAACCAGCCCTTTACTTGTGTATTAAAGCTGAAATATGTTCCCATTTTTAAAAACTCATGTTCCTCCTTACATTGATCTTTTCAATTTATTATTAGCTCACCTGAGATAGAAACTCCTTTTTTTAAATAAGGTCTAGATGACTAGACTTCAGAGTAAGATTTTGTCAGAATAAAGTGAAACCATTGTTCTAATAATACATTGTCCTAATATAATAACTAACAAGCGCTGGAATTCTAAAGTGGAGAGATTGTGTTATAAATTAAACAAGTTGGATGATCTCTAATGCATGGGCTTATAATGCATATATAACTTAATTCCCTTGGTTGTGCCACCTCTTGGAAGTAAAACTTGTCACCTCATGAGCTTTGGTCTTCTGGATTTTGAGATTTTTTTTTTTTTTGGTTTGTTGGTTTGGCTTTTTGGTTTTTGTGTGTGTTTATGTAAACTTCAAGTAGCCCAGGCTAACATAATTATAAAAATTAATTTGAAAAAAGAAATCTTATTTCTATTAATATTATTCTTGCTTCATTTGAATACAGAAGTTTAAAGGAAAGAATTTGGCATAAAGTTGAGGTTTTTATCTCAAGGATTTAAGCTCTATTTACCCTAAAATATTTCTTAGGGGTAATCTGGAACAGGGGGGATTATAACTAAAAGGCTTAAATACACTACATAAGAAAAAGTGTCTGTCTCCTAAATATACATAAATCTGGGAGATCAAGGGGCTAGAGTAATGTAAAGTATTAATTTAGCGAAATAAGGGAAAATGTTATTTTGTGTTATTACAGCATGTTGCCAAGAGGATGATTTTTTCCTTTTTCAATATACGTTATCACACATTATAATAAAATAAAGAAGTAGGTGAAGTGCAAGGTAGTGTCTGTGATGATCGTAAAACAATTCACTCTATAATTCTTGTCAATTAAAATTATAACTTATATAGGTCAGCAGGTGGTGTAGTGGTTAAGGCACTGGATTCCCATGTGGTCTACTGTGGTTCAAGTCCTGGACCCAGCAACTTAAAAGAAAACACCAGGCATGTGTGAGTGCGTGCCCAAAATCCTGGGAGGAAAAGGGACTGTGACATGGCCATCCCCCTGGGAGGCGATGTCTCTGTTTCTGCCTTTCTCTGTCTCTCCACAGTGAGTGTATGTACTCTATATAAAAAAACCTCTTTAATAAATAAATAAATAAAGTATATACACATATGTGTGTGTGTGTGTATATATGTGTGTGTGTGTGTGTGTGTGTGTGTGTATAAAATTATAAATGAGAACAAATGGAAATAAAGGTAATTGGTTACTTGTTTTTTTTTTGTTTGTATAAATGAATAGAAAAATTGCCTCAAATCCAGGAAGCCAATCGGAGCTTGGATGATGTGATTTATTACTTACTGGTAAATTGAGTATCAATCTGAAATGTTTCTGAATGCTTACCAGTATGACATATATTGAGTTGGGTTTTATGTGAGGAGCTGAATTTGTTACAAAAACATGTACATGTCTGTTATCTAAAAAAATTATATAATTATTTCCATTCATTATTTTTTAATAATAAAATTATTGTTTTAATTTTAATTATTTTCCCTTTCTCTGTCAAAGGGAAAGTGAGAAAGCAAGCCACCAGGTCCAGGACCTGAACTGTGGTCAGCCAGATGGGAATCCAACGCCTCTAACCCCCACACCACCTGCAAGCCCCTAAAGGCAGATTTTCTGAAGGAAAAGTTTTGTAGGAAGTATAGTCTGATGTTGTTTCTGTTCAGTCTTCCACCCACAAATTTAATACTTTCTCCATCTTTTTATCATGGACGGTGGCCATAAATTTTACAGCTTGAGGTGTGACAGTACAACTAACATGAGTTTCTTTTTCTTTCACAAGTCTTTCACAAGTTCATGGATAGAGTACTCATTTTTACCATAGATCTTAGCAACCATAGTGTCCTTGTTTTTGTTTTGTTTTGTTTTCTTTCCTTGTCAAGTCAAGAACTTTCACATTTTCACTTCAAGGAAGTACTTTACAGCATCTCTTTGGCATATCCAAATTGCCGGCATCACTATTATGCTTGGAGCCACTGGTAAGCAGAATAGCGGGAGGAACAGCAGCCCCTCAGTAGTCAGCCTAATAACTGAGAAGGCTGCTAAGTAACTAAGGGGCTAATAGCTATACAGTGCGAGGACCCTAGAAAAGAGATGATTTGGGTCCTGAGATTTTATCATGCTGCTCAGAATGATCAACAATTAAAAGTTATGAATAAGGCCAGCCCATGCCCTGGTGGCTAAGGTGGCTGGATTTCACATGGCTGAATTTACAGACCTAGAGGTTTCAAAGATACACTGGTACTGGGACCAGCAGTTAGTGTAATGGCTATGTTGCTGGACTCCCATGTAGCTGACTGCAGTTCAAGTCCCAGACCTGGTGACTTAAACTCACATCGGGCACATGTGTGTGCATGCCCAACATCCCAAGAGGAGAATGGAGGAGAAGGGATTGCAGCGTGGCCATCCCCCCAGGGGGTGATTTCTCGCTTTCTATCTCTCTGTCTCTCTTTCTGACGAGTGCATGCGCCCTATAGCAAAAACCTCTCAAAAAAAAAAAAAAAGAGAGAGAGAGATACACTGGCACTTATGTGTGCATGCCCAGAATCCCAAAAAGTGGGATAAATGGAAGAGAATGGATTGCAGTCTGACTATGCACCATGGCGGGGATGGGGGGTTTGCTGTTGTTTACCTCTTTCTGTGTCTCCTTTTTATCTCTCTGGCAAGTGCAAAGACCTCCTGACACAATCTTCAAAAACAATTCCAATAAAGCTATGAACAGTTAATTTCTAGAATGTTCTATTTAATATTTTTGAACCGCCGTTGACTGCAGGTAACCGGAATTGCAGAAAGTAAAACCACAAGTCAGGGGGAACCTACTGCACTAGGTAAAGCCCATTAACCTCCAGATGTCTCACAGTAATCAAGTACAATTTGACTAATTGTAAAAAAAATAACCGTAAGCGATTTCATTTTCAAAAATAGTTTTCACAAAATTTGCTTAGCCAGCTTACAGATGTGACAACCCCAGAAAGTACACATTTCTGAAAAGATCCTGAACAAACCCCAAGAGAAGTCACCCTTGAGAAATGACTTCTCAAGATACTAACTGGTCACCAGCCCTTTGGCTCGTTTTACTTCTGGGCTCTCCCTCCTCAGGACATTGTCCTGAGTCTGCATCCTAATACCTCATAAGGGAGTAATAAAACTTAGGCAACGTCCGGAAAGATTGCACATCCCATAGTACTTAGCCAGTGTGGAACTGGCGAGAGACTTGAGCACTAGGGAATAAATCGCTTGTAGCCATTCCAGGTGTGCCTGTCCCTCAGACACCCAATCCTGCAGGACCGCCATTGAAGTCTCACTACCCTGTAACTCGTCCCCATGTCCATTCCTTGGCATTGGGCAGATGAGCACATTTCCCACATTAATCAAGTAATCAAGTAACAACTTGAAAACCTCAGTACACTTGATGAGACTCCACTATCTTAAGTGTGCCTAAGTCTAAAGATTTGGTACATGCTTTCAAAAATAAAGCATTTATGTTTTAGACACAGGGAGAACCACAGATGGGGCCGGCATTTGGTGTGATGGCTAAAGGCACTGGATTCCCACATGGTTGACCGCTGTTTGAGTCCCATACCTGGCAGCTTGCTTTCTCTCTCTCTCTCTCTGTCCCTCTCTGGTCAAATTAAAATAAGTAAGTTAAATAATTTTTTTAAAAAACAAGAAAAATAGGACGAGCGGGTGACGTGGTGGTTAAGGCACTGGACACTCCTACATGGTCGACCATGGTTCAGGTCCTGGACCTGGTGGCTTGCTTTCTCACTTTCTCACTCTCTTTCTGTGACTCTTTCTGGTCAAATTAAAATAAATGAATGAATAAAATTTTAAAAAAATAAAAACAGCAACAGCAAAGGAAAAAAACAGAACCATGAACATCTGCTCCTTTTTTTTTTTTTTTTTTAGTTTTTTGCTGTAGAGTGTGTGCACTCGCCAGAGAGAGAGGGAAAGTGAGAAATCATCCCCCTGGAAGGATGGCCACTCCGCAATCTCTTTGCCTTTCTCCTCTTGGGATTTTGAGCATGCTCATACATGCCTGGCGTGATTTTCAGGCTGCTGGGTCTGGAACTTGAACTGCTCAGTCAGCCATGTGGGATCCAGCCACCCCAATTTCTGTGCCACCCAGTAGCCCATCAACCCCTTTATCTTAAAGAAGATAGTGCTAACAGGGTTAAAGAACTAAGATATCAGGGACCAGCAGTTAGCGTAATGGCTGTGTAGCTGGACTCCCACGGAGTCGCACACCGGGTCGCGTCACCTTCGAGTCACGGACCCAGTGGCTTAAACTCACACTGCGCGTGTGTGCGTGCATGCCCAAGATCCCGAGAGGAGAATGGAGAAGGAGGGATTGCGGCATGGCCCTC